TTGGTGAGGCTTTCTCCTGTCATTTCTAATTGGTTTACTGAGTGTTTCACTTCTGTCTTCATTTCGGCCTGAGTATTCTTCAATATTTCTAACTCTTTTCTGAATTCATTCAGCAGTTTATCCCTATCTTCCTTCAGTTCTTTGATTTCTTTGTTTGTGTGTTGTTTAAATTTACTGAATTCTTTCATTTTGTTTATAGTTGTTCTTTTGAGTTCCATGTCTTGTGTTATCTCTAGGGGGTTCTCACTGTACTCCTCTACAGGACTGTTGGTACTTGGTGGGATATATTATTTGGGTTTTTCATGTTATTGTTTTTGCACTATGACTTTGACCGATCTAATTTCTTTTGTAGTTTCTGATTCTTGTGTGAAACTCAAGCCTTCAAGTTTAGGTCTGCTTTTTTTGTGAAATTTATGTGTGTTTGTGGTTTACTTTTTGGGCATGAAAGGCTGGTTCATCTAAGCTTCTGGTTCCTCTTTTGAGTTTATATTGGAGTGACCAGATTGCTTTTGTCTTCAGGAGTTCCCACAGAGGCCCAATTCAGATGATGGTCAGATGTTTTCAGGCTTTCTCCTAAGGTCTGAATCCCTCAAGGAACGATTTTGGCCTCAGGAATTTGGGGGTTTGAGTGGCCTGGGAGCCTGGCCCAGGAAAGATGCTGGTCTAGGGTAGCTGGTGGCCATTCCACCCAGAGATGCAAAGGCAGATGGGGCCAGAAGAGGCCCCAAGGACTCCTGGGGACTGCACTGAGGAGCTGTGTTGGTCTGGATGCAAAGGATCAGGAAGAGGAAAGGTCAGATCCAGCATCCCAGAAAGAGGCTGGGAGGTGGTGCAGGCCCAGGGAAATAGAGGGAGGTGAGGGCAGAGCCAGGAACAGAAGCAGTGCTCCTGGGGCCCAGAGAAGGCACTACATTGGTCTGGATGAAAAGGATCAGGAAGCCTTATTCATTCCCCAGGTGTCTGGGGCCCCAAGACAAGGAATGGGGCAGGGCCCAAACTCGGAGGAGAGAAAGGCGGTGGAGGTGGGAGGGTGAATGAGGCTAGGGGAGTCAAGGCACAGAGGGTGCAATGGACTTACCCCGAGAGAGGCCTGAGGGTAGGAAAGAGCCTGCAGTAAGTGGTGTAGGCCCAGGGAAGCAGATGGAGATGAGTGAACCATAAATTCATTTTTAAATACCCTATAAGCTTATAAATAACAGGTAAGTAAGCTGAGGAAGAACTGGTAAAGAGCTTCCTAATTTCTTGTCTCTTTCCTAGAGAAAAGGATATTTGCAGTGCTGAAGACAAGGGAAAAGAAACAAAGAAAATCATGTGCCGATAGGGAGGTGATATCTATATTTAAAAAGGGCTTAGACAAGAGGAACTGAATCCTAGTGTGACAAGCTGTTGGGGACCCCTGCTGTTTAGGGTAGCAGTCTCCCCATGTCCGGATAGCCACAAGCTGGCTTGGCGCAAATGGGGAGACTCCCCTTCTCAGCGGGGCGCCTTCTGCTCTCCTCCCTGACTTACTTTTGAAATGCCCGTCACAAGATACATGCCCTCCGGCACAGGAGCTACCAGGTTTTAATCAGGCGTTGTCTGATAGCCTGATAGAAGCCCACCACCCTATGTAAATGAAGCATTCCAAGCGTAACTATCAGCTAAGGCTTCTTCTACTGTCTCCACACTATAAATCGTCCTAGTTTCACCCCAATAAAGCTGGAGCTGGAGCTGAATCACTGAGATCTGAGTTGAGTCCTTGTCTGAAGCTGTAACACTAAATCCTGTGATCCAGTCTCCCTGGGGGGGCTATCCTTCCGTCATCGACTCACGAAGACCCTGCTTTCGCCGTTTCTCGCACCTCCCCTCGTGACCTGGTGGCCAACGGGTCTCGAACTTGGAGTGCATGGTGGAAACTGAAACGGAACCCGACCGGGCAGCTGACAGTGGTCCTAGAGCCGCCAGCTCCGGTAGCAGAGACCCTCAGCAACACAGTGCGTGAAACCTGCGCATCCCAGTGGTGGAGAGCCAGGGACCCAAACAGCAGATGCGGCCCACAGGACCCGCCACACTCCAGCGACGTGTGGGAGACTGGCACCACGCCCAGCAGCTGGTGCCCCAAGATCCCCACACGCCCATAACAAGCTCCTATTTGTGAAGAGACTGAAGGCATGGAGCCCAGAAAAAAATAACAAAGAAAACAATTATAAAAGTCTGAGCAATGTCATTAGATGGAAGCAGATGACACTTAGGGCTCATAACTCTGTGAATTTTTTAAAGTACAACCTTTGACTTTCCCAGGATGATTGCTGAGCATCCGGAAGCTCAACTTGAAGCCCTAGACTTCTGCTGCCTGTCAGGCTTGTTTGTAGCTGCTTAGGTCAAGCCAGCCTGTACCCAGGAGAGACGCTCAGTTCCCAATGCATTCCTTTTCCTTTAGCAAATGAAGACCCAATGTATTAATTAGCCAACCAGGGAGGTGACAAGCAGTGGTAAGCAGGGGTATTCCTACTTGGCTTTGTTTTAAAATGATCAGGTTTTGAGTAATGAAGATGGTTGGGTCCCATCTCAGAGGAAGGAAAATAGAAGGAAGATCTAGGCATCTGTGTTCTAATCAATGACTCCAGGTGACCGCAAGTTTGAAAAATGTTGTACCATAACAAAGGGGCTCAGAATGTGTGTTTAACTTCAGCCATGTCATTCACCTCTCTGATCTAGAGATGCTTCTCTCCTTGTATTTCCTTCTCTGTAAAGTGTGGGATCTCCCTCTGGTCCAAGGTTCTCCAGTTCAGGCCATTATATAACCCCTTTTCTAACTGCAGAACTGAATGCACTCCAGGAGGAGTTGAAGCCATTGGGTCTGGTTATATTAGGATTTCCCTGCAACCAGTTTGGAAAGCAGGAACCAGGAGACAACTCAGAGATACTACCTGGGCTCATGTAAGTACTTGCCTGATACCTGGTACGAGGCCCTTGTTACTTTTCCTGTCTCAGAACCACCTGGGTGGTGGTGATTCATAGGCTCCAGGGCACCTTACAGCACAGCATCTGACAGTGTCTAGAGACTTTCTCTCCATCATTGACTGAGACCTGGATGGACTATGGAAGAAAGGGGAATCAGAGACACCTGAGACAGACACAAAGACATGAGTGGAGACAGACTGGAATGGAGAAAAGGGAAGTGAACTGGGAAAAACTGCAAAACTGGCCTTTGTGTCCTCCACATTCCACCTGCCCCATCTCTGCCTCTTTCTGCCTTCTCCTCTGTCTGCATCCTGGTGTCCCCTTCTCCCTCACATGGAAGGCTTCCTGGAACCTTTGACTTGTTGCAGGTATGTTCGCCCAGGAGGGGGATACCTACCTAATTTCCAGCTTTTTTCAAAAGGGGATGTGAATGGTGAAAAAGAACAGAAAATCTTCACATTCTTAAAGGTAAGTAAATTGCTGCCATTCAACTCCTTTCTTCCTAGCTTCAGTTAGAGATTAAAAATTCCCATCTGTTCATGGAAATAGACTCAAGGAGTCATGCCTGGAGAAGTAATTGATCTTTCCAGATGAGATCTCCAGCTGAGCATGAGGACCTGGGTTTGATTTGTTAGCAACTGTGAGACTCTGACTCTGTGAAGTGGAGACAGCTATGTGGGATGGCAGCTTTTAACCTGGATCACTGTTCACTGATATTCATTCATCTAAGGTATTTTAAATGAATGTCTGCCACATATATGGTAGGTACATAATAACTGCATAAAGATGAACAGGACACATTTCCTACCTTGATAAGATCACACTTTGAGAGCTAGAAATCAGCACATATAATATGGCACGGAAAGTACCTATACAATTGTTCCTAAATGCTAGGCTGTGGGTTAAGACTAATCGAGGTTAAGATAGTTATTTGTATGTATGTGCATGGGTGTATGTGTGTGTGTGTGTGTGTGTGTGTGTGTGTGATTTGTTTGTATGTGCACTAGCACATGACTGCCGCATGGGTAGAGGTCAGAGGACAACCTCCAATGTCAGTCCTTACCTTCCAACTTGTTTGTTTCTACCTCTATCTATCTTGCTGTAGGAACATGCAAATTCTAGAACTTGAGAGGCAGAGTCATGGGGATCAGGAATTCAAGGTCAACCTGAGCTACCTATTGAGTTTGAGGCCTGGGCTATAGGAGACCCTGTCTCATAAAACAAACAAACAACAGAAAGAAAGAAAATCTTGAAAAGGCAATGCATCTTACATAGCAGTGTGACTGTGGGATGGAGCCTAGGATGAGGGACAGAAAGAGGAAACACACTCAGGCTATAACATCAACAACATTCTTGGTGACTGACATGGTAGTGCCTAGGGTAATCTATGGGATAGAGGCAGAATCAATGGAGGTTAAAACATAACAGGGAGTGAATTACCCGCGGGTGAAGAATCCTGGATTATCAAGGAGCAGAAATGATTGTTCCTCTTCTTCACCTCTCTCTGCAGCATGCCTGTCCTCACCCCTCTGAGATCGTGGTCTCCTTCAAACGCTTCTTCTGGGAGCCCATAAAAGTCCATGACATCCGCTGGAACTTTGAGAAGTTCCTGGTGGGACCCAGTGGAGTCCCTGTCATGCGCTGGTCCCACCAGGCTCCTGTCAGCACTGTCAAGGCAGACATCTTGGCATACCTGAAGTCGTTCAAAACCAAGTAGAAAGGCTGAGCTGTGGCAAAAGGCATCCTGCTTCTCACCCAAAGATCTGTTCTACAAAAGTCCATCTTATCACCATACTCTTTTCCTAAATGAACTCTGAACCAAAAAGATTCATGTTTGTGAGGCTACGGACCTTTCTCCTTGAAAGATATGTGGGTGAAGAATAAAAGAATAAAAAACCTAAATTTCCAGGTCCCCATTACAGATCAAATCACTTACGAACATGGTGGTGCACATCTGTAGTATCAGCACTCAGGAGGCAGAGGCAGGAGGATCATCCAGGCCAGCTTAAAAAAACAAAACAAAACAAAAAACAACAACAACAACAAAGCCAGACTGAATCACTCCTATTTACCAGAGGGTTATGAGAGTAGCCCACACCACCATCGAATCTGCAAGAAGAATCTCCTTAGACATTCTGACTCTCTTTTCTACTCCAAAGATGTAGAAATAGTGGTAGATGATGGTCATACAATCTAGTTCCTCCTCCCAACATTTTTGTCCCCAAGTCTTTTGATTCCAGCTTCACCCCATGACACCTCCCCATCTGCCCTTCTGTGGTTGCCCTGAAGGAGAGTGGGAGCAGACTGACTCCCACAGCAGGAGGGTGTCTTCCTGCTGCCAGGACCTGGGACTTGTCTCTGATCCTACAAAAGAACTCCTTCTTGTCTGATCTTTAGTACATTCAGGTTATGGCCTGAGGTGCGAATGCATTTTATCATTTGAAGGATGGGAGTTCCCTTCTTAACATAGGATTCCTCCACGTCAGAACAAGATTATTGTTTCCAATAAAATGTTTCCTGCAGCATCTCAAACTTCTGTGGTTCTTTTCTAATCCCTTCTGACACTTAAGCTCCTTTTCTGTCTCCCTCTTCCTGCTCATTGTACCTTTGATGCTGTACTGCCCAGATTATGAACCTCCTTGGAGATGAGATTTATCCTCCCAGATGCTTAGAAAGTTATCCCCAGGTTCTTGGCTGTCGTCTGAATCAGGAATTTCCTCAGGCCAAGTTTGGTCCTGGGGTGGCTTATGAAGGAAAGGCTTGAAGACAGCCTTGAGGGTTCAGCTGAGGCCCATCCAGCTCCAGGAAGCCTCAGGCATTGACTCCTGTGTCTTTGTGCTTGCTCTGGAGCCTAGTCTTTCTCTGGTAAAGCTCATGTCTCTCACTTGCTGTTTATTATGGTCTCTAATCAGAATGAACATCGAATTCAAAATACAATTGGAGCCCCACACCCCAGTGTCGATAATGTGGTATGGCCTAATATACATTTCTTCTTGAGACATTGGGGATCAGCTAGGCTTTGCTCAAGTCAGGCTCTCCCACTGGGCCACTGGATCAATCTATCTTAGTCTTCTTTCTAGAGAATCCAATGTGAAATTATTGACATAGGAAAAATTGTATGGCTAAGAAAAAATACTAATGTGAGATTTTTGAGGCCACATTATCCATCGCCTGGTTGGTAATAAGAATCTGAATGGAGCACAAACAGCCACTGTCACAAAGTAACAGTGCAATTATTGAGACTGTCCCCAAACCTGAGCTGAGTGGAGGGATACACACCAGCAGATGTAATGGACCAAGTGTGAAAACCATGGGGGATGAAAGAACTGGAGATGTTGCTAAAAGAAATCAACAGTTTGGAGAGAGGCACAGAACAGTCAGAGTTGATATATCATGAAATAAAGGCTAAATGTGAAACCATGCCTCCTGGATCCTTTAAAGAACCTCTCAGATCCAGTGCAGTGGTATACACCCATAGTCCCAGCACGAAGGAGGCAGAGGCAGAAGAGTCACATACTCAAGGTCAGCCTGAGCTACATAGTGAGACCCTGTCTCAAAACAAATAAGAGAGAGAGGAGAGAGAGAGAGAGAGAGAGAGAGAGAGAGAGAGAGAGAGCAGTAGCAACAATAATACCTCTCATGTTGTGCCACTCAAGGGAACAAACAAAAAAACCCAAGTCAAATTCAACTTAGAGTGTCTCTGTATGCCAGTTTGAGACACTGATTGGGCAAAAATCACACCTCTAGACGTCAGGTGGTTTGATGCAGCCAAACATCCAGCTTCCATAAAATTGGCTTCTACTGGAGTGGAGAGGAAGTTAGCTAAGAAGTGCTCTTTGATACGGAGCTCTCCCTGAACACAGGTTTACTTACCGGTAAGATCCTAGCATGGTATAAGAGTGCCTTCTGTGGGAACAAGAAAAGATTCTCCAAAACTGTGGTAAAAATGCCAGGACTGATGTGGTAAGTAGCAGGGACAAGGGGTCAGGGTGGGAGAAAGGTGGGCATGACAGAGGGGACTTAGGAAATGCTGGGACCCCAATATGGATGTGCTTCACAGCAAGGCCAAGGGACTTTCAATTTGAAAAAATAAAAAGGAATGTGTTGTGAGACATACCATTTATTTATACTATTGAATAATTTTTTTTATAATTTTAAAAATTGTTGCTGGGCATGGTGGTGCACGCCTTTAATCCCAGCACTCGGGAGGCAGAGGTAGGTGGATCTCTGTGAGTTCAAGGCCAGCCTGGTCTCCATAGTGAGTTCCAGGACAGCTGGGGTTACAGGGAGACCCTGTCTCAAAAAGACCAAAAAAAAAAAAAAATCGTTGTGGCCATGATGAGGGGCACATCTGCCACAGCCCGTGTGAAGATCAGATGACAACTTCGTGGAGTTGGTCTCTCCCCTTCCATCTTGACAACTGCCTTTACTTAACTGAGTCCAACATTGTTAAATAATTTTAACAAAGGTGCTTGAAAATAGAGAGGCATGGTGGCACAGATCCTTAATACTGGCAGATTTGGGTGGATCTCTGTAAGTTCCAGGCCAGCCTCTACATAGTAAGACACTGTCTTAAAAAAGTTTAAAAACGTTTCATCTTTATCTGTTAAATCTTCATGGAAAGGACTGGAGAGATGGCTCAAGAGCTGCTCTTGCAGAGGTCCTGGTTCCCAGCACCATACAGTGGCTAACAACTGTCTGTAACTCTAGTTCCAGTGGGTCCGACGTCCTCTTCTAGCCTCCATGGACATTGCACACGTGAATGCATTTTCATGCATGGATGGAATACTCTCATACACGTAAAATAAATTAAATGTTTAAAAATTCTAATCCCAGCACTTGGGAGGCAGAGGCAGGCAGATCTCTGTGAGTTCAAGGCCAGCCTGGTCTCCATAGTGAGTTCCAGGACAGCTGGGGTTACAGGGAGACCCTGTCTCAAAAACACCAAAAAATTTTTAAAAATTGAAAAAAAAATTCTTATAGAAAAAAAGATTTTAAGGAAAAATAAAAAAACTAACCCCAGGGGCCTATGCCTGTAATCCCAGTATTTGGCAAGCTGAGACAAGAGGATTGCTATTAGTTTGAGACCAGCCTGGGTTAGTGTTAAACTTGACCTAAGAACAAAAAAATTGAAATTTTAGAAAATTTGCCAAATAATTTTTGTTTACTGTTTCTACTTTTACTTGGTTTGCATTGTACTATTTTTAAAGTTTTTTTCTTTTATTAATAATTATTATCATGATGATCTGGGGATCTGATTTTATTTTTTTAAAGTAAATGTCATCTTTCTGAATGTTTCAGGACAGCAAAGTATCTTCAACAGCCTTAGATCAAACCCTAGCCAGCCAGGCCTGGTGTTAGGGTTCCAAACAGCAACTTTTACTTGGTTTGCATTGTACTATTTTTAAAGTTTTTTTCTTTTATTAATAATTATTATCATGATGATCTGGGGATCTGATTTTATTTTTTTAAAGTAAATGTCATCTTTCTGAATGTTTCAGGACAGCAAAGTATCTTCAACAGCCTTAGATCAAACCCTAGCCAGCCAGGCCTGGTGTTAGGGTTCCAAACAGCAACAGCTTCCCCCCCTCCCCAACAGGGACCTACAGACTTTGGAGCCCAAAAAAGGGAATTGAGCTGATAAGCACCTTGACCTTTGAAGTCAAGGGAAACAAACTCTGCTGAGAAGCAGCCTGCTTTTCCTCTGATCTCCAAAGATAAGATAAGCAGATCCTGCCTGTTAACCAGAGATTTTTAGAAGCTGTTTTAGTACAGCAGCTTACAACAGCTTTTCTCTTATCTTAAGAGGGAAAAAGTAAACATTTCCAGATCCTAATCTTACCTGTTTTCCTGCTTCCCCCTCCCTGATTTCTCCCCCAAACATTCCCCCCTTCCACACCCTAAAGCCCCCATATATAAAGTCCCAGCTCACAACCCGTGGGCGGACATCTTTCCCTTCCCGGACATCTTTCCCTTCCCTGACATCTTTCCCTTCCCTGCCCTTCCCTGACATCTTTCCCTTCGCTGACATCTTTCCCTTCTCTGCCCTTCCATGACATCTTTCCCTTCCCGGACATCTTTCCCTTCCCTGACATCTTTCCCTTCCCCGAGGGAAACATGTCCCGTGCGAAATAAAGCTGTATCCCGCTGAGAATTCCATCCGCTCGTGCTTGCCACCATTCCATCCCACCCTCTACCTATCAGATGGTGCCAAAATCCGGCTCTTACTTCAAGGGACCTCGCACGTAAAACTTTCGGACTCGCTTGTCGTTATTGGCTGCTGCGAACACCACTGATTTGACATTAAGGTACACTTCCACCCTCTATCTCTCTCCCCGCTCCCATTCCTTTCAACTCTCTCTCCCTCTCTCTCTCTCCCCTTTCCCCTTCACTACTCTCCGCCAGTTTTCTTTTCATCTCCTTTCCAATCAAATTCGGGCACTCCCAGACCTCACTCATGGCCACTGGACAGCACTGGTTTCTGCGACCGTTGAACTGCCCGGCACAGTTACTGTGCCTGTCCACGCCCACCTGGGAGTCAGACCTGCCTCCCCATCACACTCAAATCCTTTTCCCTACCTCAGCTCCCTTCCCTTCCTCGCTCCTGCCATCTTTTGCTTTCCCCTAACATCTCATCTTCTCTCTCTCTCTCTCTCTCTCTCTCTCTCTCTCTCTCTAGAATTTAGCCCTTGATAAGCCCTGGGTTTTCTCTCTCTC